AAGGGATTAAGTTCTTCAAATAGGGATTCATGGAAATAAAACCATACCAAAATCATTTTGCTCAACTTAAAAGTTTTAAGCAGTCACAAATAAAGAACATGGTTTGACAGCCAATAAAACAAAGTTTTATATTTCAAGCCAAAGTACCTATTAAACACTGCACTACTGTGTCTACACTACAGATTGTGGTATTTAATTTCCAGGGCAATGGGACAAAATGGACTCAGTGTCTTATATAGCACAATTACACAAGTTTTAAAATACAAAACTTACATGCTGCCCCCCAACAACTGCTATCCTTGACTTAAAAAATGACTCCATTTAGCTAGGGCCATGATACAAGTTAATATGATCTGGTTTCCTATAGAATTGAATCACTGGCCACCATAGCTTTCTAATTCTAAAATTAGTACATGCAAAGATATACCAGGAGGAATCAGATTTTGGTGTTATGGTATTCTAAGGCTTCACTTTGGGTAGCAAAAACAACAGGCCAACCCATCTACTTTTGTCAGTATAGATTGCTTCTTTTAAATGTTTTTACCAGCCAGGCTCGGTGGCTCAGCCTGTAATCCCGTGCCTTTGGGAGGCTGAGGTGAGTGGACTGCCCGAGGCTGCAGGTTTAGACCCACCTGGGCAGGCGAGACCTCATCTCTACAATAAAATCAAAAAGTTAGCCGGGTGTGGTAGCACGCACCTGTAATTCTGGCTACTCGGAAGGCTGAGGTGGAAGGATTGCCAGAGCCCAGCAGGTCGAGGCTGCGGAGGCCGGGAGCAGCCACTGCACTCCAGTCTGGGCGACCGAGTGAGACTGCAACTCACAAAAATAAATAAAATAAATAAATAAATAAATGTTTTTACCCTGGCCCGGCTCAGTGGCTCAGCCTGTAATCCCGCGCATTGGGAGGCTGAGGTGAGTGAATTGCCTGAGCCCGCGGGTTTGAGACCCGCCTGGGCAACTTGGCGAGACCTCATCTCTACAATAAATCAAAAAAATTAGCTGGGTGTAGTAGCATGTGCCTGTTGTTGCTACTTGGAAGGCTGAGGCGGAAGGACCGCCGGAGCCCAGCAGGTCGAGGCTGCGGTGGCCGAGAGTGGCCACCACACTCTAGTCTCGGCGACTAAGTGAGACTCCAACTCAAAAATAAATAAATAAATAAATGCTTTTACCCTGATGTTCAAGCCACACTGTACTTCAAAATGCAGGACAGCAACTAAGGAATTTGTCATTGGGCTAACTCAACTATATTCCAAATACAGGCTGCTTTCTGGTCAGAAGGCACTTCTTCCAAGATAATTTTAATCAAGCCAACTTTTTTTGTACTATAAAATGTCTTTAGAGAATGACAACTACTAACAGAGAGCAGACTGTTAGTATTTACCAAAGTAAACACTACACAAAGTAAAGTTAATCTTGTAACACTGAGGCTTACTGAACATACTCCAATAGCAAAGACTAAAAGAATCTAAAAAGACAACAGAATAAACAATTTAATCCATATTTAAAATGTCTATCATAAAAAGCAATTTGTAGTAACCCTCTAGACATCTAAGAAATACATGCAATATGATTTTTTTTTTTTTTTTGAGACAACTGTTGCCCAGGCTGGAGTACAATGGTGCAGCCTTGAACTCCTGTGCTCAAGAAATCCCCCACCTCAGCCTCCTGAGTAGCTAGGACTATAGGCACATGCCCACCATACTCACTTAATTTTTAAATTTTTTTTGTAAATACGGGGTCTTACTGCTTCCCAGGCTGATCTCAAACTCCTGGCCTCAAGCGATCCTCCCGTCCCAGTCTCCCAAAGTGTGGGGGTTACAGGTGTGAGACACCAGGCCCTGTACAGCAAGAAGTTTGAAAGTTTAAAAATATATGTGTGTGTGTATTATTTATCTTTCCCTAGCACGAGTGCAGAATCTCATCATATGTGCATTTATCTTGAATTCATCATAGGCAGAAGAAAAAAAAGAGAACTAATTTAAATATTGGTTCCCTTAGCTGATCCTCAGCTCACATATGCCTCTTTGAATATAAATACTTCCCTCACTGTGCATAACTAAAATATTAGTCGTATCTTTACACACTGTGACTTCAAAATGCAAACCAACTACTTCATCTGGAGCTCATAGGAAGAAAAAAGTTTTTTCCAAAGTTAGAAGAAAACCTGAGTATACAGGTGGAAAAAGGTGCTTTTTCTTACCCGCTCACCCAACTATCAACAAAGACTTCTCTGGGGGCTATTTCCCCACACACCAAGCAATTAACCAGTTCTGCAGCAAACATCAGCTGGATGCCCTCTAATTCAATTCAGTTCTGCCATCATCTACCTGGATGTGTCAGATCCCACAGGTGGAGGACTCAGTTCCCAAGATTGTCCCTCGTTTTAGATGCTAACCACAAACTCCAGGTTATTTCACCTGTGCTTCTGACCAACCGGCTATAAATCAGTGATCCCATGGCCCCATCCTTGGGTGCAATTAATTTGCTAGGCGGCTCAAAGAACTCAGGGAAACACGTTTACTGGTTTGTTATAAAGGATATTACAAAAGATACAGATGAGGAAATGCACAGAGCAAGGCTTTGGGGAAAGGGTGTGGAGCTCCCAAGCCTTCTCCTGGGTAGCCACCCTCCAGGACCCTCCACATGTTCACCTATCCAGAAGATCCCCAAACCCAGTCTTTTTAGGTTTTTATGGAAGCTTCATTACTTAGACATGGCTGATTAAACCATTGGCCATTGGTGATCAACTCAACTGTCAGCCTCCCTCCCCTCCCTGAAGGCTGTGGGGAGAACTGAAAGTCCAACCTTCTAATCCTGTTTAGGTCTTTACAGTGACCAGTCCCCATTCTGAAGCTACCCAGGGACTGCCCACCACCAGTCAGCTCATTAGCACACAAAACAACACTTATCACTTTGGAGATGCCAAAGTTGTGTGCCAGGAGACAAGGGTGAAGACCAAACATATTTTTCACAATATCACACTGGCTATGTCAGAATTTTACAACACTGGTATGCTTAACGTCCAACATGGTGCCTCCCTAAGAGATTTTCAAGGGTAGTTATTTTGCCATCTGAGCTGGCTTTAGAGCCTAGCCCACACACCAAATCATGTTCTATTCTCTCTCCCCTCTTACATAACTCCAGTCTAAGACCAAATTGGAAATCACACAGGTTTCACATTTCAAAATCAGAATAAATGGGGTTTTCATTTCTGGAAATATGGGCTAGGTAACTGAGACCAACGCTCCACCTCTGGGCTAAAAAAGCTGGGATTTTGTACATAATAATTCTTAAGCAAATAGAAAAGTCAACAAAATAGTAAAGAATTTGAAAATCTAGGAGATCTAGGAGAAGGTGAAAAACAAAAATTAAGTCCAATATTCAAAATGGATTTCATCCTGAGAATTTAAGCTCAAGTTCTAGTGCCTTTATAAGGTGACAAGTCAAAGCCAGGAGCCCATCCAGGGTATAGTCTAATAATCGCCTTCCTCTCCCTCTCCAGCTTAATCCCAAAGAACTATAACCACAAGGTAAAGGTGAACTGGGAAGTAAAAGAGAAGGAATAATGGACAACAAAAACAGACCCAAAAGGAATTCAGAGAGTGGAACTAAACATAGAGATCATAAAACAACTATGCTTACCACATTAAAGAAATAAATATCAAGCCTCATAATTAATAGCAGGGAGCAATAAACTGTAAAACAGTAGCACAAATAGAATGGCAGGAAATACAAAATGCAATAACTGAATTTAATATTTCAATTTAATATTTCAGTGGATAAGTTTGACAATGAATTGAAAATACCTTGAGAATTAAAAATAAATTATCCAGTATGTAGTATGGAAAAATAAAGAGTAAGAGGCACAGAGAAGAAAATGAAAAGGTTTAAGTTAAATCAGCAAAGAAAAATGAAAGACAATGGGACAGAAGCAATATATGAATTTAAAATGGCTGAGAATTTCATTGAACTAATGAAAGACACTAATCCACAGATTTAAGAAGTCTAGTAAATACCAAACAAAAACAAATCCATAGTTGCATCATTAAGAAAAAGAAAACCAAAGACAAAAACTTGTTTTAATCTTGTTTACAACTTGATTTTAGACAACACGATCTTAAAAATACATTCTATAGTAAAGAGTGAAAGAGATATTTAAGAATGAAGACAAAGTATGTTCAAAAGGTGATTCACGGTGAAGTTGCTTAATTTAGCTGTTTCAGATGCATAATTACACTGACTGGGACTATGGCTGAATGGTACATTTAAACCACTTCATTTACTAGATTCGTCATTTTCAATTTCTGAGGCAGCAGCTTGGCTCTAACCAAACATCAAGATTCTTGGAATGTGAAAGCGAAGCCTGATAACCAGCTAAATGGTCTTCACACAATTCTTCTTCCTTTTTTTTTTTTTTTTTACAACTATGAAGACTTTCCCCATAGGGTAAAGGCATTAACACTTAACTTAGAAAGACAATCCAGTGGCGTCTACTTTCAGACCCTTACGATTGTTCACAGTTTAGACTCTTTCTAAAAGACATAAAACTTTATCTCGGCTCAATTCCTTGTATCAAAAAGGAGTCTTACACAGACCCCTTTCAAGGATTTCAGAAAAGTGCCCTCCAAACCACTGTATGGTGTCCCTGTAGACAGACACAACAATACACCAAACAACTGAAAATCACAAATCTTGCTGGCACCTGGCTCCCTGGGTCCCACTCCTTCCCTGCCCGTCGGACTACCTAGGGGCGGGGCTTCAAGAATCTGCATTTTAAAGATCTTGTTTCCCACTGACGTTTAAGAACCACTGCTCCAGCTACTCGGAAGGCTGAGGCGGAAGGATCGCCGGAGCCCAGCAGGTCGAGGCTGCGGTGGCCGGGAGCGGCCACGGCACTTCAGTCTGGGTGACAGAGTGAGACTCCAACTCAAAAAAAAAAAAAAAAAAGAACCACTGCTATGATCGAACAGACCTCCCCTTTTCTTCTGTGTGGACTGACCTTCACAAGGGCCACCAAGTCTCCAACAAGACGCTTCAACTATTGGTCTCAGATACTCGAGTTTTCTGCAAAACGGGGCCCGCTGCTTGTTTTCTATTAGAAGAAAGTGCAATTGGCACAGCAACAGGGACATGGCACATAATCAGTATGTTCCCCAACCTGCGCTTACATTCTGGGATTCAACTACTTCCAACCTGGCGTCCCCACATCTCCCTGGAGCTGTTCCAAGACCTCTAACAGAGCCTGCTCCCCACTTGAGGCTCGGGTGGTCCCACCTAGCAGGATAGGGGAGAAACCCGCCAAGAGGCCCGGCAATTCTGGGCCCACCTGAAAGGGCCGGGGAACCACTCCCCACAACCCAGATGCCTCTCCGCGAGCTCCCTTGGTTCCCCCTCAGGCCGGGCCCCGCAGGCCCCTCGCTCTAACGACTCCGGACACTTGGGGGGGGGTGCGCTGACTGAGAACAGGCCTGGCCTAACCCTAGCCGCAGCTCCCCACCTCTTTAGCGAAGAAACCGGAGCCCAGGTTTCACCGCCAGGCCAGGCCCCAGGCCGCACTCACCTACCGGCGCACGGGGAGGCGAGACTCCCTCACCTCGGCGGCGCCCACCCTAAACCGCCACCGCAGAGCCGCTCGCTCTTAAAAAAAAAAAAAGTAGAAGAAAGGGGGGGAAGGGGGGAAAAAAAAGACAGAAAATAGCCTTTGCTTTTGTATTCCTTTTGACCCTTCAGGGCTTCCTGTTCCTCGCAGCCACAACAAAGTTCCGCCCCGCTTCCGGCAGCGTAACCCAATCCGCAGGTCTCTTCCTTCTCGGGAACCCGATGGAAATCCGGTGCCCTAAAAGCGGACCGGAGAGACTTGATTGGGCCATTCACAGATCAGCAAGCGGATTGGCCAGTTTACTTCTAGAGGGCGGGTCGGTCCGCTTGATCACGTGACATCGTCCCCGAACGATGATTGGCTGTCAAGGAGAGGGCTTGCCACCGAGGAAGGGGCGTTTCCTAGGGGACTGAGGGAGGGCCGGGGCGGTGCGAAGCGGGGGTGGGCCCTGCGCGTAATGGCAGCGCCGTGGCCTCGCGTCCATCTTTACCGCTCTCTCGGACCTGTCACAAAGGAGTCGCGCCGCCGCCGCCGCCCCCTCCCTCCGGTGGGCCCGGGAACTAGAGAAAGTCAGTGCCGCAGCCCGGCCGCGTTGCTCTGGGAAGCCCCCTGGGCACGCGGAGCGGGAGGGGGTCTGAGGGCTGGGGACATCTGTGAGGGAGGGGAATAGCCTCGAGCCTGGGGCGGGCAGACCGGACTGGAGCCGGGACAGCCTCTGGGAAAGGGCCCGGGAAAGGGGTGGCGTTGGTCAGAGCCCAGAAAGCAGCCGGGAGATTCTCCCGAGGCCCGCGCTTTGGGCGTGTGAAGAGGTTCCTGGAAGAGGGTGGTCCCCGGTCCCTCGTTAGGGGGTCTTCACTAGAGGACGTTCTTGGGGTCGCCCTTCTGAGAAGGCTGCGGCTGACGGGGCCCAGGTGAGAGACAGGTACCTCCTGGGAGGTTCTTGCTATTGAGAGGGTGCTCCTCGGGGGTGCCCAGGGCAGAAAGGGTAGGTGGGGGGACGCTTCGGGAGGGTTCCTTTGTGGAGTTTGCGGTCTATAGGTGGCACGGGTGGGAAGCAGATCTCCCCTGAGAGATTTAGAAACGCCTCGGGGTCGAGAGACAGGGAAAGGGACTTGGAGGTGGGAGTCAGGACTAGCGGATTCTCCTAGGGAGGCCGGAGCTGAGAATTGGGTAAGGACCTTGGGGAGAGGGGGATTCTGGCCGATCATGGGAAGAAGACACCCCCATCCATAGAAAAGCCCGAGTGGGAAACAGTGAGGGGGGAAACGGGAGTGGCGGGAGTTCTTCCATCTCTCTCTGGAGATCGACCAGGTGTCCCAGCCACAGGATGCAGCTGCTTCTGGGCTTCGTGCCGGGGTGGGGTGGGGGCGTCCATCCCACTAACACTCCCTGCGTGACTCCAAACTAGGCGTTTGTCCTTGCCTGCCGCCTCACTTTCCCTGTCTTTGAGGAGGGAAATCCACCGAGGCGAGGTGGTCAGCTGAGGTCCTGTCTTGACTGTAGTTCTCTGAGTGAGGTTGCTCCCCCTGGAGTGTTGGACCTTGAACTTCTAAGGGTTGGAAGTATCTGTTACTGACTGAGTAGAATCCCGCAGTTTCCCAGGCCCCTCACACCTCCATCTGTTCATGCTTAGTGGAGTGACTTAACCTCCTTAAGTCTCTCCTATAAAATAACCTAGGCAGTGTGTGACACTACAGACTACAAGCTTTCTGAAAGTAAGGTACTGCGATTCTACCACCAAATGTGTTGCTGTTGAGGAATAAAAGTGAAGGCACTTTTTAAGCTGTAAAACAGTGTGTAGATTCCAGGGGTTCGCATTCATGCAGTTGTTGGCTATCACTGTGGAGTGCTGGGAGGCGCATTGTGCTGAAAGCTTCAAGGTTCACAGCTTCTTAGGTCACATTATAATCTAAACCCTTGTTTCCAAACCCTGCTTAGATGGGGGCGGAGGGATTTCCAATTTTTGCTCCTGAAGTTTTAATTTACTTTGAATTTCTGATGGTGCTGGCAGGAGTTAGCACTATACTGTAATCTTTTCCTTCAGAAATCTTTTTCCCTGACAGCTGAAATTTTCCTCCAAGTCATTTGATCTCAATACTGTAAACCTCCTCCCCCTTTTTCATACATATATATTCGGGCTTTTGGATGCCTACAGGTAGTGAATATCATGCTTCCTCCCTCAGCTGTGATTTGTAGAGCCCGTGTTTTTTCCTCCATGAGCATTATGCCTTGTTGTGTCAGCCCCAGACTATGAGGCACATTGGAGATTGCTTTTAAATATCTCTTGCACAATGGTCCTTTTTATTTTTCACCTCATGTAGAGTTTGCCTTTCCTGGGATGACATCTTGCTTTATAGAACCCTCTGTGAATTTATAAGATACTTGTGTCCATGCGTGACATTTCACTAATATTTGGTTAGTGCCATTTGTTAGAGCTGATTTTCCAAATATCAGGTAATTTATTTGTGATTTTTGAAATGCTTTTTGCTTTTGTAAGCTGAAGTTCCTGTTTCTGTGATGTTATATTCTATGGATCTTTCTTTTTAAAAAATTACTCTGGGTTTTTTTTGTGTGCTCTTTGATTTACCAGGATACATGTTGTCTTGAATTGCCTAATGTCTTTCTGTGCCCTGCTTTTTGCTGTTTTTACAAGTGATTCATTATATTGGTTCTCAATTATTTTTAAGTTATTGATTATAATAAGTGTTCCAGCATACTATGTGGACTTCTGCTTTGGGAGAAAAATAACTTTGCATTAGCAAGTATTCAGGGAAAATAAACATTTAGCATTTTGCATAATAGTGTGTTATTCTATAGTTCTAGGGGAAAAAAACAACACATCTGAAGTATGTTTTGGCAAGAGTTTAACAAAAAATTGTTTTGTATTCCTGAAGTGCCTTTGCAACAGTCTGTTTCAATCTGTGAACTGAAGTGAATCTATCAAAACTTGTATATACTTTTCCTAATAATGAAGTAATTTGTTATAATGAAGTGGGAAATTCCTTTGCATTCTTTAAAATACAGCTTTATTTCATACTCTAATATCTATATAGTTTGGAGAAAATATTAAGAATTCTTGAGGATAGCAATCATTTTATAGTACTTTAAATTGGAAATTTTCTGTGTTTTGTAGTGTGATCTTTGTAAAGTAGGATTTGATAGTTTCAGGATTGCAAGATAAGTGGAAAGTCAAAGGCATCACAAATGGGAAACACAACGGAACCAGTAATCTATTTCAAAAGAGCTATTTGAGGAGAGTAAACTATGGATTTAGCTTCTCTTACAGCTTTTGACCTTTTCAAGGCAGTTACCATTGAATTTGGGTAGTTTTTTTTTTCCTTAGTATTCAAAATAGAAAATTGAGAAACATAATAGTCAGGAAGTAGTAAATACCAAAACTTGGGTTACAACCTTCAGGAGGAGACTTTCCTAACTTTTGGAATTGCAAAGGAATGAATATGTCTCTTTGGTTTATCTAGTCAATAAGTCGGCTTTTGAAACTGTTCTCTTGCAACTTTTATGAGTAGAAAAAAATGTACAAATTTGTTGCATTTAACTTTCAGTGTCCATTCCAAAAGGTAGTGCTTGCTGGTTAAATATGTAAACGCAGTAACTATAGATAAATGTGTGATGTATACAAGGCTAAACAAGTAAAGTTACTTGTTTATAAACTAGGGGTGGACTCTTAGAGAATATTCCCCTTTCTGAGCTTTTGAAAACTGAGAATACGTTTGAAAAGGCTAGGAATTAATGCAATCCTTAAGTTTGTTAAGGAATGAACTCTGCACATAGCTTTCTTATTGCTTGAAACTCATTTCCAGACATAATTTCATGGGTCCTATACACCTCAAATAGAAGGTTTGAAATACCTTACTTAGCAAGTATATTATTACCTCATAGTTTAATGTTTTCGTGTTAGTTTTTTTAACCCCTTCTACCTCCTGAAGAATTGTTTTCTCTCCTGTGTCCCCTTAATGTTCAATGATTGTCAAAACTATGATTCCTACCCCATTCCTCCTCATGGGAAAAGCAACTTTTTTTAAAGTTTTGATTGCTTCATAGTTGTTCATACTTACATATGCCTAAGGGCTACTTGTTAATACCCTACCAAGTGAATTACTAAGGATTACTAAAATATGGTATGTATAACCTGAAACTAGAGTGATATTAGAGTTTACTATTGTCTCTAATACCTTTTTCTCCCAAGAAGTCTGTCCTGCAAAACTTGGCACCAGTGCAGAGATTCTCATATGTCATGTGCAGAGTGGGGATTCCTGTGGTATTCACAAAGGGTGTTTAGTTTGGGGTACATCATCAGTATTGTTTCAAAATGATCTTGATTTTTTTATTGTGATTCCTCTTGGCTTTTTTTTTATTTTTATTTTTTTAGAATTACTATTTAGCTTCCTCTTTATTGATTTAATATATGTGCTTTTAGTTGTGTGGGTGGGGTTACCCACAATATTCAGGCTTATAATTTAAGGCATGTATTTGTTATATGCAAATACAAGTCCTCTATTGCTTTTTGCTATTGTTGATTTATATAGTCACCTAAAATTTTGCTCATACAGGCTTGGTGCAGTGGCTCATACCTGTAATTCCAGCACTTTGGGAGATCAAGGCAGGAGGATCCCTTGAGGCCAGGAATTCGAGACCAGCCTGGGCAATATAGTGAGACTTCCTCTGCAAAAAATTAAAAAATTAGCTGAGTCTGGTGGTGCATGCCTGTAGTCCTAGCTACTCAGGAGGCTGAAGCAGGAAGATCCTTGATCCCAGGAATTCAAGGCTGCCACTGCACCCCACTCAGGGTGACAGAATGAGACCCTGCTCTTGGGGGAAGAAAAAAAAAACTTGCTCATAGGGAGATAACTTCAGTGTGATCAAGTTTCCTTTCCACTGGAAAATGTTGGCAGGAGAGGCTTTCTTCTAGTAGACGATGCTTTATCCACAGACTTTGGGAAGGGAGCTAAGTTCTTCTCTAACCCTGTATCCCTTTGCTAAGAGCACAAGAGACATTTTTTAAAATCCGTCCTCACTACCTGTCATATAAGCATTGTATATGATGTCTCAATTTTTCAAAATGGTAAATCTTTTGGAAACACTTTTTGTTTTTATGGATTTTAGAATAAATTGATTTAAGATATATATTTAGTACCTATTAAGTTCTA